AAAAAAAAAAAAAAAAAAAAAGACAGAGAACATTCAAAATTCAGTAAGAAAAAAGATGGCCAAATGAAAAAAATCATAATTGAAGTGAAGTTATTTCACCAAAGAAACACAGATGACAAATGCACATCAAAAGATGTTCAATGTAGTCATTAAAGATAGGTAGATTGGGACTGGGGATTTAGCTCAGTGGCACAGCGCCTGCCTGGCAAATGTGAGGTTGTGGGTTCAATTCCCGGTACCGGGAAAAAAATAATAATAATAATAATAAAAGAGAGGTAAATTAAAGCTACAGTGAGATATTACTACACACCCATTAGAATGCCTAAAATTGAAACCGTACAAGGTGTTATTTAGGATATGTCATTAAGGATGTGCTATCGCAGGATGTGCTATTGAGGAGGTATAGCATACACCCTGTGGCTAAGGATGTACAGCAACTGGAACTCAAACACTTCCACATTGCTGACAGAGAATGATTTGGCACTATCCTAAAAGGTTAAGCAGAAACTACTACTGTATCCTCCATTCATTCCACAACTTGGTGTGTATTTGCATTTTAATGTTTGTTGTGCCTTCCTGTAACAGCCGCAAACAGGAAACAATGCAAATACCCATCCGCAGGTGAATGTATAGAGGTTGTGACATAGATAGAAAGTAGTATTCATTGGTTAAAAAAAAAAAAAGAAAAAGAAAGGAGTGGTGTTCACTTTCTGATGTACCCTGCTTTTCCAGAGTAGCTAGCTATCTTCTTTTTTTATGCTTTTTTCCAAATAAACCATCTTCCTTAAAAAAAATAAATAAATAAAAAATAAAAATGAAAAAGGGCTGGGGATTTAGCTCAGCAGCACAGTGCCTGCCTGGCAAGTGCGAGTTCATGAGTTCAGTTCCCGGTACCGGCAAAAAAAAAAAAAAAAGAAATGAGTTCCTGAGACATGCAATGATATGGGTCAATCTCAATAGCTATGATGAATGAAAGGGGCCAAAAAGAGCATACACTTCACGGCTTTGCCTCCATAAGATCAGTAAACCCAACCTTGGTGGAAAGCAGAGCAGCAGCTGCCTAGAGTGAGGAAGTAGGTGAAGGAGGAGTGAGAAGGTACAGGACATGAGGAAAGCTGGAGGCAAAAGACATGTTCTTTTTTTTTTTTTTTTTTTTTTTTTGTCTTTTTGAGACAAGTTCTCGCTGTGCAGTTCAGGCTGGCCTTGAGCTCACTTTGGAGCCCAGGCTGGTCTCGAACTCGCAAAGATCCTCTTGCCTCAGCCTCCTGAGTGCTGGGATTACTGGCATGTGCCTCCATGCCCAGCAACATACTCATTTCTTGATTACAGCAAGGTGTTTAATGGGTGCACACATACATGAAAACTTACTGAGTTGTATACTTTAATTGCTATATGTCAATTAGATATCTATAAAGCTATTAAAAAACAAACAGAAGTCTTTGGAACCTGCCTTCTTTAGAACTAAAGACATCTTTAATCTGAATCTATTATTGAGAATTTCTGACTTTCGTGGGACACCATTCCTCAGCTCTTTTCAAAATGTCTCCAATTTTGTATAGGGTATGGTAGATCACACCTGTAATCCCAGCATTTGGGAGGTTGATGCAAGAGGATCACCATGAGTTTGAGGCCAGTCTGGAGACTACATAGCAATACCTTGTCTCAAAACAAACAAGTGAACAAACAACCTCCAACTTTGTTCTCTGATGAATAAACCTTCCAGTTTAGCAATAGCCTTTCCAGTGCACTGGGCAATCTACTGTATTTGATGACTTAAATGTATGTGATATCAGTCAATCTATTAAAATTATTTATGTCCTTCAGATTTCACATGACCTCATTTATTTACTTATTTATTTATTTTGGTACCAGGAATCAAACCCAGGACCTTGCACTTGCCAGGCAGGCATTGTGCCACTGAGCTACATCCCCAACCCCACATGGCCTCTTTTAAATAGTTTATAAATTCTGGCTCAGTGCCATCATGATATTTTATGTGACTAAAATATCTGCAGTGAGGGGCTGGGACTATAGCTCAGTGGCATAAACATCTGCCCGGCAAGCACAAGGTCCTGAGTTCAATTCCCAGTACCAAAAAAAAGAAAAATCTGAAGTGTCAAATATTCTGAAAACCTCAGATCTCTAGAACTGGGCAGGAAAGAAAAGTTGGAAATAGCAATGTCATTATCAAATAAAAACCTGAAACTCTTTTCCTTAGTACAGCAGACTTCCAAAAATATAAAGCTAAGATGCAGTATGAGTGTGGAAATTCCTGCCTCCTGCCTCCTGATTCTGAATTCCGACCCGGGATCTTGAAACAAGACAAAACTAAACTCGCTCAGGTATCTCAGCCTCCACTTTGTCCTGTGGCTTTTCTTTCCTATGTTATTATGCTTAGTGGCAACTTCTTTCAACAAAGCTTATGTTTTTCATAGATATTTTTGCATTTTAAAAAATATAGTTGAGGCAAAGGGTAAATAATATACAGAGCACTTGGTTTCCTGATTTCCATTCCTGTTAATAACAATTATGCCTTTCCAGGAGTGTGGCGCACACCTGTAATCCCAGCACAGGAGGATCATTGCAAGTTTGAGACCAGCTTGGGCTACATACATTAGCTCAAGTTCAGCCTGAACTGCATAGCAAGACCCTGTCTCAAAAAGACCAAAAAAAAAAAAAAAACATAAAAACAAAACAAAACAAACAAACAAAAAAAAAACCTATGCCTATTTTTCCCAAATGCAGCCATTTATATTATTTTAATTAGTGGGTCTGCAACACTAGTGAGACAGGTGTTTCATAGTTACATTTCTTTCTGTTTCACTAAAATTGATTATTTAGCAAAATTAATGGAGTCACCAATTAAGAAGCTTTTCAAAACTATCATAATTTACTTTGCAAAAATCAAAATGACACTCTGACTTGGATTTTATTTAAAAGAACTACAAGATAGAAAAATGATAATTTGCAGGAGAACCCCAATACCGGGCAAATAACTTTTACACTGTTGTATCCTTTGTACCCATGAGACTGTGTTCTGAACCCCTGGATCACCTCCTTCAGATGCACAGGTTGATGCACAGGCTGCGATGTCTTCAAGCCCAGGGCCGGAGACAGCTGTCAGTGGACGGGGAAGCCCTTCAAGATAGCTCATCTTTTGGGGTGTGTCTAGGGGCTCCTCAGAAAACTCCATATATGTCAAGCTGTGTTTCTACTTCCACGCTGAAGTGGTAGGAATTGTGGGAGGCTGAGGATTTGCTGAAGCAATGATACCTCATGGTGCCAGCAGGTGGGGCCTCAGTCCCTGTGTTTATTTGTTTGTTCACAGTACTGGGGATTGAACCCAAGACCTTTGCACTGAGCTACATCCCAAGTCCTTTTTTTATTTTTTATTTTGAGATTGATTTTCCCTAAATTGCTAAATTACCCAGGCAGGCAGCCTCCCTGAGCGCTATGGTTATAGGTGTGTGCCAGCACCCCTGGCTCAGACTGTGTGTTCTTGATGAAGGTATAAGCCAAGACACAGAAGAGCTTTGTAGAAGTGAAGACAGAAATTATTACAAAAAGGAGATGTGATTGGGGAGAGGACATTAAGTGGGGTCCCAATGTGCTGGGAGGCTGGAGAGAAAAACCTACAAAAAATGGCTTTCGGGCTGGGGATTTAGCTCAGCGGCACAGTGCCTGCCTGGCAAGCGTGACATCATGAGTTCGATTCCTGGTACTGGAAAAAAAAAAAGAAAGAAAGAAAAGAAAAAATGACTTTCACCCCAGATGGCTCACTTGAGATATTAGTAAGAATTGCCTCCTCAGTATTCTATAGCCGTGACAAGGAGGAGGCCAAGGAGAGAAAACAAAGAGACCGAGAAAAACCAGCTGCTTTTGCTGCAGCACCAAGAGAAACAGACCCTAAGTCTGATTTTCAGGGCCCCAAGAAGAACTCAGCGACTACATTCATCTGCTAGCACTGTTAAAAGCCAGGCCACCTCAAGAAGAACTGCCCTAACAAGCCCCCTGGGCCATGCCCTGAATGCAAAGGTGACCACTGGAGATTGGTCTTCCCTTTGAAGCAGAGGCCCCAGAGCTCAGAACCATCCTACCAGTTAGTTTAACAGGAATAAGGGGGCCCAGGGCATATTCTGCCTTCTCCCTCTGGCCAGACTTCATCTCCACGGAGGAGCCCTGGGTAATCATGACAATAGAGGAGAAAGAAAACAGCCTGTTGCTAGACACAGGTGCAAGTCTCTCAGTCCTTCTTTTCAATCCTGGCCTTCCTTCCAGCCATCACACCTCAGTGAAAGGAGTCACTGGTGAGGAGGTGATACACTATTTTTCACAACCCTTAGGCTGTAACTACTTGTTAGATCTTTCTTGGGTATCTCTGTCTTCCTGAGAACCACTTTGAAGATACCACCATGTATTACAGCAGCCATTGGTATTTTCCTACTAATCTGTCCATAACTCTGTAATGTTTGTATTGTTCCTATGCTGTTTTGTAAACCAATATATGTTTATTATTATGTGTTTCCTACAACAACCATTGAGAATAGTCAATGATTATTCAATTGGTCACTCATGTATAGCTCTATTTATTTTCTTTAGAAACCACTTTAAAGTTACCAAAGTATAGTACAACAGCCATTGATAATAACCTACCACTTTTGTCTGTAGCTCACTATTATTTGTCTATTTGTTTTCCTCAGAAACTATCTTGTAGATAACAATACGTAAAACAACAACCATTGATAATTTCCTACCACTTTGTCTGTAATTTGGTAAGCCCCCCTATTACTATGTTATCCTTCTTTTACTCTTTAAAATAAAAAAAAAAAAAGAAAAGAAAAGGAGGTGTGAGCCAGAAGTACAGCCTTATAGGACAGGGCAAGCAAGTGCCAAGATGGCAGTTGCCCCAAATTAAGGCTCAGGGTACATTTGTATGATTCAGTGGACCTGCAAGAACATCATTCCCTCCCTCCAAAGTTATTATTCTATCACAAGGACAAATGGGATTATTTTAATTAACTTTAAAGAACAAAAAATTTGTGTAGATAAAATGTTTCCATCTAGTCATTCTGAGTCCTTGCCCAAGGTCTGGACTTGGTCCAGGCCCTGGACCTTACCAGCATGCTCAGAGGAGGTTATGTTCTTTTGGACCGTAACTTGAAACCATAAGCTTCTTTGGATTATGAATAACTAATAATTAAGAAAACAAACGAAAAAAATCACATCTTTGTTTTTCATGTAGTGCCCTCAGGTAAGCTGCTAATGTCTCATTCCCTGCCTAACATTCCCCCTACGAGTTCAGACCCTAAAATCACTTAGGGCACTGGGATGCTGCATCTTTTTCGGTACTTCCTGATAAGGAGTAAAGAGTTAAGGTCCCCACTTTTGCTGTGGGGTCTGTCACAGGGCCCCAAGTTTACATAAAGGTGAATCTGTGGGACACGGCACCCTCTGGAGATGGGCAAGTTGAACATGCAACTAGAAGTCACTTCAGGATTTCTTCTCTTGTCAGGGCTTTAATATCCCTCTCTAGTGGGCCGGTGTGAGGATGAGTGAGATTTGTGGGGGTATGGACAGCTCAATATCCTTGAGAGAGTCCCATTTGTTATCAATTTTGGACAACACAATTTTAACAAAGAGGTTAAACAGACATGGACCAAAAATGAGAAGTGGTATAAGGCCCACCGGAGGCCTCATGAAAAGGGCTACCCAAGACATGTTTCCCAACTGAGCTCCATGATTCCATTCAGGGCAGCTTTCCCTTTCAGCTGAGAGGCCTGGTGTGTAAGGCCTGATCAGACTCGTTTAACCAGAAAAAACATTTCCCATGGAGCACGAGGCAAAGCCCTCCTTCCACCGCCACAAGCATGCCCGATCTTGCGTTTTGCAGCACAGCAGCCACTACGGAGTCCATGGGGTGCTGTACAGCAGAGAGGCTGTCACAGGGGCTTCTCAGTCTTCTGTTAGCTTCAGGGAGAGGGAGTGGTAAGCCAGGGACTAAGGGATTAGTCTTCTCACTCCTGTTCCTGCAGAGGTCCTTGTCTACCTTCCCAGGTTTTTAAAACCTATAAAACATTCAAAGGCCAGAACACCATCCTCCACATAATGAAATACTTTCTATAGTGTGTGGGGCAGGACGGGAAGGATAACACACTTAGGTCCTACTCTGTCCTGGGGCACAGGGTGGGGCTGTGTAAGTAGCCCCAGGGCAGCACCCCCAGAGGGTCGGGACTCTCCATTCCATGTGAGTGCAAACGAGCGCAGGGACTCAGCAGCTAGAGGAATACTAAAGAAAGCATTAGCAAGATCTAGAACAGAAGGACAGAATTCAACAGGCCACATCCCTTGTTCAGGCCAGGCAGAAGCATTGGGCTCTGCAGTATGGCGGCCAGCACCCCATTTAATGCTGTGGCCATGCTCATGAGCCAACTGGTTTCTTTCCCAGCCATACTGAGCTGCCAGAAGCACCGTGGGTGTGGCAGGTGACCCTCACATCCGTCTGGTAGTTTATGCTGTCTGGTCTTAACTGCCTTTCAGGGCTGGGAATATAGTTCAGTGGCATAAGCGCTTGCCTGGCAAGCCTGAGGTCATGAGTTGGTAGTCCCAGTACCAAAAGAAAAAATAAAATTAACTGCCTTTCATGGGGCAGGTAGCTTTCCTCACTCCCCTTCTGTCCAGCTTGTCTTTCGGTCTCTAGGGCAGAGCCTTCCCATTGTGTTTTGCAACAAGATGACCACTGCTCAGATATTATTTGCCCAAGGAGCTAGAAACGCCATGTTCCCAATAGGGAGAGTTGTTCACCCCGCATGTAAGTGTGTGTTTTGTTTTGTTTTGCCTGCAAACAAAGATCTGGATCCTCCAGTGTCAAGTCTGTTAGATTAGGCTCAAGTTTACTTAGGATGAATGTATGGTTTTGATAGAGCCCTTTGCAATAGTTGTCATCAGACATTGATGATAGGAACCATTTCTTATAACTTCTTGACTCTATTTACCTTTTGGGAGGCCTCACATAAATGACTCGATCATGACATTTATGAGTCTTATGCTTTCCTTAATATTCACTTCTTGTCCTTGTGAGGATTTCTCCTGAGGTATCACTGATAGGTCATTGTTTCTATGTTGCCACACCCAACATCCTTGTTTCTGAGTTACCCAATTTATTTTCAAAAGTGAAGAAGTTTACCAACATACTTGAACAGCAGAGTTATTTTAAAATCATGAGAAAAAAATTAAACTATTTTTAGAACACAATCATCTTTCCATGAACACTTATGAAGGGGACCCACCGAACCCATGAAAGCTTTGTGTCCTCCACATGCCTGAAGTCACATTTGTCTTCTTGGTTTCAGAGCATAGGACAAACCTTACTGCCCTCCCTGCTGACTGACTTTGTGTTGTATCTCCTGACGAAACTCTCCACATCTAATCAAGAAACCACAACCAAAGCAGCAGCCATACTGAAACTGACTCTGAAATATCACGCCCAGAAGATCACCAGGGTAAGGTGCTTGACAAAGTACTTGACATTTCCAAAGTGCATCGGAAGCTCAAGCATTTGTACTTTCCCTTCCTCTCCCCATCTTCCCCTTCCCCGCCCCAGGTCCCCTTCCCATCTCCACAAAGTGTACCTCCCCCTATTTTCTTTTCTTTTTTTTGGTACCAGGAATCAAACTCAGGACCTGGCTCTTGCCAGGCAGGCACTTGTGCCACTGAGCTATATCCCCGGCCCTCTCCACCTGTCTTCTACCCTCTCTTTTATGTTGCTCTTAAATCATTTATATCTTGGGTTTCTCATACAGGAGAAACCATCTGATATTTAACCTTTCATTCTTGCTTATTTTACTTAACGTTCTGGTCTGAGGATGTATTCATGTTCTTAAAATGACTCAAATTTATCCTTCTTATGGCTGAATAGTAGTATACCATTATAAGTGTTCTCATGGTTTGGGGTTATTTGCAAGGGGAACAATATAATACAGGACACATATTTCATAAGAGTATTTATAGCTGGGCATGGTGGCACACTCCTGTAGTCCCAGCACTTGGGAGGCTGAGGCAGGACCATCGTTGTGAGTTTGAGACCAGCCTGAGCTACAGAGTGAGCTCAAAGCCATGCTGAACTGCATAGTGAGACCTTGTCTCAAAAAAAGACAAAAAAAAAAGGATGGGGGAGGCTGAGGATATAGCTCAGCGGCACAAGCACCTGCCCAGCAAGCACAAGGTCCTGAGTTCAATTCCTGGTACCAAAATAAATGAATAAATAAATAAATAAACAAAAAGACCAAAAAATGGTTATTTATAATAGTCAGCCAAAGATCATATACAAAAAGAGTACAGGAAATCTTTCCACACACTAAATACCAAAGAATCCAGCTGAGGGTCTAGATCTTATGGAAATGTCCTGCATGAGTCCAGCTGAAGACTTACAGCTCATAACAATGCCTCCCACGAATCTAACTGGAGGCTTAGAGCCCACCACAATGTCTCATGCAGGCCTATTTCACAGATCTGCGCTGTGAAAACCCAAAGGTCAGTGGTGGAATATAGGAAGTCTGTGCCAGCAGGATGAAGGATCTGCAGGCTGAGGGACCTGCACTGGAGCCAGGAAGTGATGCTCAAAGTAAGAACCAGAGCTCCCCTGAAAAGCACCACAGCCATCCTCAGTAACAGTGAGGTCCCTAGCTCCTCCGATGGTGAGGGCAGCCGAGTTCCCATCAGGGAAGCCAATGCGACAAGCTTCTCCAGGAGACTGGCAGTGTACCATCTTCCCTTCTGGAGCCAGGAAGTGATGCTCAAGGTGAGGACCAGAGCTCCCCCAAAGTGAACTGAAGCCATTCTCAGTGACAAGGCCCCAAGCTTCCTGGATGATGAGAGCAGCCAAGTTCATCAGGAAAGCCAGCATGAGAAGCTCTTCCAAGGGAACCAACAGCTCCCTACAGCTTCTAATAACACACAACAGCTTCTCTCAGTTCCCGAGAGCTTCTCTCAACTCCCAACAGCCTCACTTCTTCTTCTCCAGTTCTGCTTCTTATGCCGCTGCCAACAGTCCTCAGGTGGGCCTCCCACACCCAGCACCACGCTGGTTCAGTTCAGCTGGGGGTTATAAATTGACCAGCAGTTGTCAATCCACCACAAGTGCCTACCACATTTCTTCTGAGGGATCTGAATATTCATTCATCTGTTGATGGGCACACAAGTCACTTTTAAAATTTAGCTATAGTGTGGTTTTGTTACGTGTCTATTTCTTGTCATACACATTTCTTGCCATGTTTGTTATGTTACTTTAATAAAGTGAGTCTTTTTAAATCAAGTGAAACATTTCAAGCATGAAGGAAATTATAGAGAATCCTTTCATGAATATGCACCTGCAAATTATACCAAATTATACTACTTTATTTCTTTAGCTTTTAAAAAAACAAATGCATTAATAACACTAACACAGCAGAGTCATGATTCAAACCTCCTGCGTAGCCCTTGAGTTTCAAGGACCTTCACCTGACGCAGGTGACTAATTTGTGGGGCTTAGTACAGAGTGAATAATGGGATTGTGCCTTCATGATGTGGGGAGAACTGTCATTAAATGGCTAAGCCTATAAGAGTTATCTTTCCCTCTACTCTCACTCAAGTTATCATGGAGTTCTTATTCCCCATTTAATGTCTTTGTGAGTAAAAAAGAATAATTACAAATTTTAAATATTAGTACAGCCTTTGTGATCCATATTATATTGTCTAGTGCTAGCTGTAAATGTAAATGCAAGAGCATGTAGCTGGGTGTGGTGCTGCACCCCAGTAAGTCCAGTACTTGGAGTGACTGATGTAAGAGGGCTGCAAATTTGAGCTCAGCCTGGACCACTTAATAATTTAGCAAGACCCTTTCTCAAAATGAAAAAATAAGAAGGGTATTCATTTCGGCAGCCTGTATACTAAAATTGAAACAATACAGAAAAGATTAGCATGGCCCCTGCGCAAGGATGACATGGAAATTTGTAAAGTATTCCATATTTTTTCACAAACATGAGTAGTAATAGCAGTAATAATAATAGGAGAAAGGAATCCAGAGAGGGAGAGAATAAAGAAATGTTAAGTGCATGTATTTACTCCCTAAGATAAATGTAAACACCATACACAACAAATATGTACTAATAAAACAATTTTAAAAAAGGATGGGCCAGGCATGGTGGCGCACACCTGTAATCCCAGCACTTGGGAGGCTGAGGCAGGAGGATTGTTGCGAGTTTGAGATCAGCCTAGGATACAAAATGAGCTCAAGGCCAGCCTGAATTGCATAGCAAGACCCTGTCTTAACAAGAAAAAAAAAGAGAGAATATTGACATTAAAAGCATAAAAAGATAAAAGTAGCTGGCCGATAGCTCTGTGCAGAGGCCCTGGGCTCAATCCCAAGTCCAAATACATAAATAAATGCATTTAACTCATACGTATAATCAGTAAAATAATGCAATTTGTATTTCATACATGTGTATGGATTTCATTCTTTCCAGAAGTAGAACAGTGGAAACACTACACAAAACTAACTCAGTTTGCCTGGAGTGGAGGCACACGCCTGTCATCCCAGCACTGAGGAGGCTGAGGCAGGAGGATCACCACAAATTCCAGGCCAGCCTGAGTTACATAGTGAGTTGAAGGCCAGCCTGAGCTACATAGTAAAAATCTGTCTCAAAAAGACAAGGGAGGGAAAAAAACCCTGACTCAGCTGTTTTTATTTCACTTCTTCTCGTTCACATATTCCATTAACATTGTTTACCTTCAAGCTCGCTGATGTGTTAGGAAAGAGAGAAAAGAATTTAAGGGCTTCAGTTCGTGTTGCTAGAAGAGGGTATCAGAGGCGGGGGAACTGTAGTGAAGAGATTAATGCGTTTGCCGCGCTGGAAGCTGGGAAGTCCCCTTCTTGATGCACCGTCTCACGCAGGAGGAGGAAGGCAGAGCAGAGAGGAGGGCGCCACACTCCCCTTTTATCAGGAGCCCACTGCCCCAGTGACTAACCTACTTCCTGTGACAACCACATACGGCACCCAGTCACCTCTGAAAGGTGTCACCTCTCAGCACTTGCTTTGCGGATGAAGTGCCAGGCACGAGAGGCCTGGAGGGCACACTCAGTCCGTACAGTTCCATCTTCCTCTGGGCTTGCGCGCCATCACTGTTCAGCCAAGTGGCTGCAGTTCCGGTAAGCACGCTGTGGGATGCTCGCTGAATTCCAGGCACGCGGGGCATTGCGAGCTCTCTAAGCGAAGGGGCCCACAAGAGCCACAGCAGACTCCACCACTGCGATGGCTTCTGTGCTCCACTGTCCCCTGGGCTTAGCTGATAAAACACAAGCCCCAAGAGAAAAGTATTAAAAATCTCAAGATGACAACAACAGAGCTCTAAACAAAGTGAGGGGGACCATCTGTCCTGGAGCCCTGTACATTGTACAGGTCACAGGCCTCAGCGCGCTCCCCGATGAGGACAGGAGGCCGAACAACCAGTACCCTCTCCTGAGCCCGCAGTGCAAAGTAACGGAAAAGAAGCTGAACACTTGTACGCAAGCGGAGGGAAGCAGGAAAGCGGGAGGGGCGCCTCAGGGAGAAACGCCTGTGCAGCTACAGACAGGAGCGTTCTTCAGAGCACAGAGAGCGAGGCCTTCTCCTTGACAAGACAGTGCTCCGAGGGAGCCAGAGGAGCACCCCGAGAGAGGCTGGAGGAAAACATACCAAGTTTGCGTAGAAGAAGCCACTAGAAAACCAGATGTGTAAAACTAACCGCCAGTACAGTAAATCACTAAAAATGGGATTCGTCAAGTTAAATGATCATCACAGCTCTCACCAACAGTTGAGCTACTGAATAAAGTAGATTCTTAAATGGAGTTAGAGTCTAAAGTTGATTATAGGGTGTGGTGTCGCACACCTGTAATCCCAGGTGTGGTGTCGCACACCTGTAATCCCAGCACTCGGGAGGCTGAGGCAGGAGGATTATTGCAAGTTCGAGACCAGCCTGGGCTACAAAATGAGTTGAAGATCAGCCTGAACTGCACAGTGAGACCCTGTCTCAAAGAAAGAAAGAAAAGAAAGAAAGAAAGAAAGAAAGAAAGAAAGAAAGAAAGAAAGAAAGAAAGAAAGAAAGAAAGAATAAAGGGCTGGGGATTTAGCCCAGTGGCACAGCGCCTGGCAAGCTCAAGGTCATGAGTTCGATTCCTGGTACTGGAAAAAAACCCAAAAAACCAAAAACCAAAAAGAAAGCCGGATAAAAGGAAAAATTGTGTATGGTTAAAAACGGTCCTGAACATCTCCTAAATCTTACAAACAACACATAGGTTTACAATCTTTAAAAAAATCTAGTGCACCAAGTCTCTCTTGCGGGATTCAAACAGATCACCCTTCCTGTAGTTCATCACACAGTGACATAGCTTGTTGAGAGGTTTCTTGCACCTAAAGCAGGAGGGCAACAAGGAGAGGAAGCAGCCGTAAGCCCTAGAAGTGAAGAGGTCCTTGGGCAAGAGCCTGGGCTTAATATCACCTCATGCTCACCTGGGAGCACATGGGTCCCAGGCACACCCTGCAATCTCTCACACTCCATTTATTTTTTTTCCTTTGCTTTATTGATGTAAGACAAATTCCAGGCCTAGATAGAATTCTCCTTGTTCAAAAGTAAGTACAAAGGAGTAAAAAACAAAATGAGTGTGGGACTTGTGAGTAGAGTGTGCAAGGTTACAGTTCAAAGGTTCAACGTTTTACCTTTCACTCGTTCTCCCATCCCTGGCTCACCCCTTCAGTACGTGCGTGCATTCAAATGGTCTTTACTTTTCACAAAGTTGTTTTGGAGTAAATTTCTCCCATTGTTATTCTACTCAGTTGTTTTGACTTTCTTCTATAAGGATTTGAGCTAGGTATACATTTTCTATTACTAATCTTCTACATGTTGTCTAATGAAGTCTAGCCTCCCAAAACAAACAGAAATTTAATGAGTATCTTCCTAATGTCCATAAATGCACAGTTTAGTTCTTCATTTAAACAAATATTCTGCATTGTGTAAATGTGATTCCTGCTTGTCCTCGCTTGTGCATTCATTGCCGCTGTGCTCATGCAGAGAGACTGGATTGTCACACCCAAGCAATATCTTGGTGTCAAAGTGACCGTGAAACAGGAGACTTGTTGACCCGCAAAATTTCTCTTTCAGGTGTCTCAGCTGGTGGACACTATTTATAAGCAACTGAATGAAAATCCTTCTTACTTTATAAAGGATGTCTTGTTGGAGGTTGCCACCTTGTTGACACAATCGTCGCCCAAAGCTGTCATCTTTCAGCTCTTGGACTACCCAGTCCCAGCGGACAAGTACGGCCTCTCCTCGCCCCTCCTCGCGTTTGTTCACCAGCTCACAGGCAGAGGGACACGGGCTCAAGTCTTGGGCTGTCACTTCCAGGCCTGGTTTCTTCTCTGAGATCTATTTTTGTGCCATGTAGATGACTGTAAGGCTTAGATACTAACATAGTAGATACTGGTACTATGTAAGGCTTAGACACTGATATTGGGAGAATGCTAGCTGTCAGATACTCCCAGTTCCTGGTAAAAGGAGGAGTGCGGCTCCCTCCTCTCTGCTCTGCCCTTCCTTCTTCAGTCTTTCCTCATGTCGAAAAATAAACTCTAAGGAACAACGGAGGTTAAGAGTAGGAAAATTTATTGAAGGAAAGGAACACGGAATAGGAATATCCCCTGAGAGACAGGAGGGGTCTGGAATTGGTTGCCATGAGCCCACAAGGAGGCGTTAGACAGCAAAATCATGAGGCAGGTACAACATGGGTCAAAATTATGATGAACCAATAAGATCGCAAGTATAGTCGCTTAGGTAATATTGATCCAGTGGTAGCAAGGGCACATGGGTGACATCATTAACCTTGGTCGATAATCTAGTTTTAGCCTTGTCCTTAGTTTTAGTAGTCTTAGTCTTAGTCTTAGTGGGTGGGAGAGGATGTCCCACCCCTAATAGGATAATGGGAAATCTCAAAGGGGTGATATCAATAACCCTAAGCTTCCGTTATCCCTTAGGGAAGTAGTGAATCCAGCCACTGTGACTTTGATCTTCTTCAGGTGCACCTCCAGCCACAGTTTCTGTGTCTTCATCTTCTGCACTGACTCCTGAGGGCCCAGCCCTGTCTGACTGCTGCCTGCCATATTTCTACCTAACTTAGCTGTCTATAATAATATGATCCTAAATGCTACTCGTAACTTTGGCGAATAGCCGGCACACAGTGGGTCCTCAAGAAACGATTGATGTCACCTTTATTTGGCTGAGGCTTTCAATTATGTTCTGTTGCATATCCTCCAGGAGCAAGCCTGTCCTCGAAGTGATAATAGATTTTTCTTACCATTTGGTGAATTTACTCTTTTTCTCTAAAGGAAGAAAATCCACACAGAGTGTTTTTTTCTTGTTTATGAAGGACAGACATAAAATATTTCTACCCACCACCACCAAAAAAAAAAAAAGAGAGACATTAAAAATTGCCAAATATAATTGGAAGTCTCCTGCCCCTTGACTGTTAATCTGAAAGTCATGATCCAGGATCACAAGAAATATATTGAAGAAAAAAATGCTAATGTAAGCCTGTGGGACAGTATGACTCTAACGGACACAGTACATTAAAACTTTGAAAACCACATCCCTCTACTTCTGATTTATGCACTGGGAAGATGGGACTTCCTATTGCAACAGTGCTTGCCACAGGACAGCCAATATTCAGAAAGGAGATTGAGCATGGTGGCGCACGCCTGCAATCCCAGCACTCGGGAGGCTGAGGCAGGAGGATCGCCAGGAGTTCCAGGCCAGCCTGGGCTACACAGTGAGTTCAAGGCCAGCCTGAACTACATAGTGAGACCCTGTCTCAAAAAACAAAAAAAAAAAGTTAGACAGATGGGAGACTTGATAGGAAGGAAATCAGGTTTTATTCCAGGCAGGCGCTTATGCCACTGAGCTATATCACCAGCCCTTCAGGTTTTATTTCAAATGGCCAGGCTCTTGTTCTAACGATCATTTCAAAGAATTCAGTATACAAAAGGGTCTTTCTGGGCAGGAGAGCAGGGCAGTAGGCTGTGTGCTGAGTTGATCATCTAACCTCTGGACAGCCATCTTTGTCACTCAGGGGATGTTTTCCTTTCTTTTGGTTAGAAAATCCCTGTGTTTACAAATGACTTTTCCTCTCGCGGGCAAATCCTGTAATCCTTTAGATTAACACCTTATTCTTATGCAAATTAAACATTCTTCTTCTTTTGATTAGAAAACAAGATAAGCAAACCCTTCTAGCCCTCATTTTGATGTGTTTTGAAAATCACCAAGAGGTGGGGGAGGAGCTTAGTGGTGCTTTCCTTGAACCCCAGCACTCACAAGGCTGAGGCATAAGTTCAAGGCCAGCCTGGACTACAAAGTAAGTTCAAGGTCAGCCTGAACTGCACAGTGAGATCCTGTCTCAAGGGGGCTTGTGGGGAGCCAGGATTTGGAGTTCAGCTAAACTGCAGAAGTGAATGGAAAATCTGGTCAGCCACAAGAAGTGAGAAAGTGAGACAGGGCACATGAGACTTGGTGTCCACGTGGCTCTCAACATGAGCCCTGCAGGAAGGACCCAGCTGGGTACAAGGTTCTACAGAGCTGGGTATATCCATGTTTTGGAGGACCAGATCCCCGATTAGGAGCCCAACTGCAGAAAGACTGAAGGATAGATCTCAGAGCCCAGTGTGGATTGACAAGATACCAAGATTCTATTGGCACGGAGATGTGAAGCGGTTTAAGATAAGCAATACTCAGTCTACCTGTGGAACGTGGCTAGGTGGGAAAGGAGGGAGGGGCCAGAGGGCCCCACGTCAGGGCTCCGGGCACACCTGTGTTACTAATTAAACATGTGGCCTTGGGCAATGTGGTATGTGCTTCTGAGCTCAGGTTTTCTGTTGTTGTTGTTATTTATTTAGGTTTTAAATAAATTGATCTGTATATTGCTGATTGATTAATTTGCATTCCTATATCAATCTTTAAATACACCACCATTTGCCTAGTGGATGAGCAGAGTACAGGGTGCAGAAAATTGATCAGTTGTTGACACTGAGCTACATAGAAACTTAAATCTCAGCAAGAAATGGACCCACAGACTTTCAGACTGTATTTTCCATAAGCTGTCACTTATAATCTTCCTCTCTTTTTGAGGCTAAGACATCTAGGGCATCGTTTGGACATGAGGATCTCAGCTTGTTTCTCAGACAGTACTTGTCTGTACTGTCTTTGCTGTGTAAAAATGTGATCCACGTCACTGCATCTGGTGGGGAACAGCCAACCTAGGATCTGCCTGCGTTCACAGCACTTTGTGTTTGCAGAGCTGTGATGCTGATGTGGCAGGCAGTGGGCACCAAGCCACAAGTCGCCCCGCAGGTGCTGAAGGCAATCCTCTTGGTGCTGAAGGACAAGCCTTGGGAGGTGGAGGACAGCCTGCAGGAAGGGAAATGCTTCATCTTGGATGCCACCAACATGATGCCTCTGGCGGTGATGACCACAATGAGTGTTTCTTCCCAGCGTTGTTCTCCCCTTACCAACCCTGTGTGCGCAGACTTTGTCCTTCCTCAACACAGTCTGCCCTCATCTGCCCACTCACCCTACACAGATGCGTTGTGCCACACCCTGACCACAGGGCTTATGTTCTGCTAAGAGACAGAGACGGGGAAGACACATGTCAGATGTCCAGGGAAATCTAAAATGGTGTCGGGGGAAAGAAAGTGACAGGAATGGTATAGGTTACCAGCCTCCCTCTGAGGTGAGGATGATCCTTGTGTACACCCGAGAGAGACAGGAAGGAGACCGAAAGCCCTGTGGAAATGGAGGTCAGTGAATGTGTGAGGCCTACAGATTCAGGGTGAGTTGAGCAGGCGGACAGCGGAGGTGATGAAGCCAGAGAGCTGCTACCTCGATCCTACACAGCTTTGTGGACTGTGAAGGCCTAATTTCACTTCTGTCTATCATTATGTATCTCCCAAAGACCCAAATTATCACCCTTAGGAGTAAATTCAGATCTTACAGAAATATAATAAAACCACCCGGTAGTGGCACACACCTGTACTCCCGCACTCAGGAGGCCGAGGCAGGAGGGTGGGTGAGAGTTCGAGGCCAGCCTGGGCTACATAGTGAGTTCAAGACCAGCCTAGACTATGAAGAAAGACCCTGTCTCAAAAAAAAAACAAAAAAAAAGTCAGTACACCAAGTGATCTATGGGCAGCCTGGCCCACCTCCCCTTCCTTGTCCCACTTCCCTGGGTCATTTGCGTGCAGGGACTATTCTTCATGGCCACATATGAAGGGGAACTTGGAATGTATATCCTCTTGGGGACCAGCTTGCTTCCCACTGGTTTGGGAGCCAGGGACATTTCACTGTGCTCTCAAACACCTGGCCTGAGAATGCTTGGCACAGTTCTGGTTCACGGCGGACTTAGTAGCTGCTCCTGAATGAGAGAATATGCAGGCATGGTTTGTGCTTCCTTCAAGGAGGCTGAGGAAGGTTACAGAGTCCCACCCATCCTCTGCTTGGTAAGCGTGGGTTTACAGGGAGAAGCTTCCCTTTCTAATACCATTTTCCTTCCTTTGCAGGCATCCCAGGCCCTGTGCGTGCTTTTGCCTATAAATTCCTATAACAAAACAGTGGCCCAGTTTTTTCCTGAGCTCTTCATGGCCCTCATGTTTCAACTCCTCTACATCAGTCAGCTGAGAGTGCAGACCCAGGACAGGCCTCTGTGAGAGCGCTGGTTACTTCAGATCCAATACGGGATGAGCCACTCCATGTGTTCACGCGGGGTTTGTGCAACCCTGGGTGTGGCACATTCAAACATTACAATGTTCTCTCCTCTTTTATTTTATTTTATTTTATTTTTTTTTTGTCTTTTTGAGACAGGGTCTCGCTGTGCAGTTCAAGCTGGCCTCAAGCTCACTTTGTAGCCCAGGCTGGTCTTGAACTCGCAACGATCCTCCTGCCTCAGCCTCCCGAGTGCTGGGATTACAGGTGCGTGCCACCATACCCGGCAAAGCTCTCTTCTCTGAAGGGCAGATGTCTTCAGTAAAATAACCATCCTGAAGACCTGGACGGCACATAGCCTGTCCCCTGCATGTGTGCATGGCACAGAAAGAGCCACAAGCGCAAAACATTTCATTCTTGCTGTGCTCCCTGTCAGATCTGTAAGGGAGGAGCATTTGGTCACAAGCCCTAGTCATTCTCTGGTGGTAACTTCTCAGGGTTATCATACACATACAAAGACATAAGGTGCACAGATGTGTGTGGTGAACTGAAAAGCTGTGTTGTGGTTGAGAATGGGGTGGGTGGGCTTACAACGTGAGTCCCTGGTCCTCCTAGGGAAAAGTTCAGGATTCCCTTTGCCCAAGAGAGCACAGCTGCTTGTGCTGCCCTCCAGAGGACTCGCAGTGCAACTGTCAGGTAGTTACCGAGCAGAGCTCTAAAACAGTTTTATGAAGATACATAATCCTAAAAAAAAAAAATACATAATCCACTCCCTGTGCTTTAAGAAGATATATACACTTAATCAGCTTGAGTAGAGGAGAACATGTCCTATTCATTAATGGCATTCATGAAAGAAAACGGGCACCTTTTGCACGCCTTTGCTTTGTTGAAATCCATTGCAAATAAGCTAATAAATTAGCAAGCTGCTCTGTGATTGATCCTAGCTTTTATGAGCTATAATTTCAATTTAATCTCCTGTCCCACGTACCACTGATCAAGGGAGATGAAAGCATGTGGCCATCCCCTTCTTCTGGAGCATCCCGTTTCTCCAAACCTGTACCCTGCCAGGAGGGCTGAAAAGGCAGGGCACGAGGACTTAGGTATGTGAAGGTCATTGTCTCAAGATGACGCTCTTTGTTTGGGTCCTCATAGCTATGCCAGGGAGGCACTGAGAATTCTGCTGAATTGCTCAGGACTGCAACACGTGGATACGGCTCTAAAGAACAAGTTTTTCTGGAGTCATATTTACCAGACATATTACTACCATGATGGGGTGAACCTCATGGCCAGGTAAGAACAGAGGGCTCGGGGTGAGGTGTTTGGTCTCTCCCCACCTTTCCTCAAGTGAGACACAGGATCTATTTCAATTTTTAAATCTGTCTTAATTATTTAAATTGCCAGGGCCGGGGATATAGCTCAGTGGCACAAGCACCTGCCTGGCAAGCACAAGGTCCTGAGTTCTATTGCCAGTACCAAAAAAAAAAAAAAAAAGAAATATGTAAATTGCCATTTGATTTCTACACCTTCAGTGATTTCAAGAGGCTTTGTTTGGGAATGTTTCCCCTTTCCTTCCACGTTACTGGATGACCCAGTTACTCTCGTACTACAGAGCACACTTGTCTTTCTGATGCAGAGCTCAAGGTGAGTCTGGATTCCTTCCCTTCTGGAGTTTAGGTCATTCCTGCTCTGCCAACAACAAATAGTTCTGTAGCTTTGCTTAAAAGCAGGCCTGTAAAGACCTGTGCTCAACGAGCCTAGCAAATCTGGGGAACTAGGATGAAAAAGAATTTTTATGTTTCTTTTACTGGAAAGGGAGGTTTTTGCATTTGTCCTTTAGTGAATAGCAAGTTTCTGATTATAAGGATCAAATTTTCAGATTAAGAATTAAGATATTAAAAAAAAAAGAATTAAGATATTGGGACTTGTTGACATGACATACTAATGTGACCTTGTAACTGACCCAGAAAGTATACTCTGTATGGGCCATGGGTTCTTGGTACTT